CCCCTTATTCTAACCCCTTATTCTATCTCCTTAATCTATATATATCCGCTTATTCTGTCCCCTTAATCTATCCCTTATTCTATCCCTTTAATCTAACCATTTATTCTATCCCCTTATTCTAACCCCTTAATGTAACCCCTTATTCTAACTCCTTAATCTATATATAGCCCCTTATTCTATCCCCTTAATCTATCACCTTAATCTAACCCCTTATTCTACCCCCTTATTCTATCTCCTTAATCTATATATATCCGCTTATTCTGTCCCCTTAATCTATCCCCTTATTCTATCCCTTTAATCTAACCCTTTATTCTATCCCCTTATTCTAACCCCTTATTCTATCCCCTTATTCTATCCCCTTAATCTAACTCCTTATTCTACTCCTTAATCTAATCCTTAATCTATCCCCTTATTCTATCCGTTTAATCTGACCCCTTATTCTAATTCCTTAATCTATATATATCCCCTTATTCTATCCCTTAATCCAACCCTTATTCTATCCCTTAATCTATCCCTTATTCTATCCCTTAATCTAACTCTTATTCGATCCCTTTATTCTATGCTTCTAATCTAATCCCTTATTCTAAACTCTTATTCTAACCACTTATTCTAACTCCTTAAACTATACATATCTCCTTATTCTATCCCCTGAATCTAACCCTTATTCTATCCCCTTATTATATTCCTTAATCTCACCCCTTATTCTAACTCCTTAATCTATATATATCACCTTATCCTATCCCCTTAATCTATAACCTTAATCCAACCCCTTGTTTAACCCCTTAATCTATAACCTTAATCCAACCCCTTGTTTAACCCCTTATTCTATCCCCTTATTGTATTCCCTTAATCTATCCCCTTATTTTATCCCTTAATCTAACCATTATTCTATCCCCTTATTCTATCCTTAATCTATCCCTTTATTCTAACCCTTTAACCTAACCCCTTATTCTATCCCCTTAATCTATATATATCCCCTTAATCTATCACCTTAATCTAACCCCTTATTCTATCCCTTTAATCTAACCCCTTATTGTATCCCTTAATCTAACCTTTATTGTATCCCTAAATCTGACCGCTGGTTCTATTCTGTCAATATAACTCCTTAATCTAACCGCTTATGCTAATCCCTGATCTATGCCCTTAATGTATATCTTTCCGCTTATTCTTAGCCCTTATTCTATTGCCTCATTGTAGCGCGTAATCTAAGTGCTTAATGTATATCTGTCCGCTGATTCTGTGGAATACATATATCCCCTTTATCTGGCTCCTTATTCTATATCTAATGCGTTATTGTATCCCGTTATTGTAACCCCTTATAGCATCGTGTTGGTGTAAGTCGGTAATCTATATGTGTCGAGTGATTGTAACTTCGTAATTTGACTCCTACATGTCGATTTGAGTTTGATATTTGTGAAGATGTGGCCGTAGTATAAATAGAGTGGAATAGCTCCTTAATGTAAACTCATGAATTTCGTCAAAGTTCTTGATTGTTCATGTCTGTTAAAGTGAGTGTCATGGAACTGGTGATAGTGTCGTAGTGTAGACGAATGTTATTTCCAGAGTCATATTGTCCGTTGTAGTCCTAATATTTTGAAATCTGTCTAGGAGTTAGACATGATGTCAGTCAAAATGGTGAATCTTTTGAAAGACGGAGAGATGAACTTAATGAGATCCCTCCAGTGTTCTCGTTGTTCAGATTCACGGTCATGAAGCCCGCTAAATTGGTGGAAGTTCGACATCTCCTAAATAGAATGTCATTTATTTTGTCTGAGTTCTGGAGTCTTCATGTCTCGGAAAACAGATGTCGTTCTGTCAGTCTTATTGCTATAGTCTTTATGTCTTCGTGCGAAAGACTAAGTGAAAAAGTTAGTCTTACGAGGGAACATTCCCAAGTGATACCCACCGTTTCAGCTCATATTGTGCTCACAAGTAGATCTCAGTGAGACTAGAGAAAGTCTAAAAGGATTCGTGCCATTGCGCCTTTGGAGCCGAGTTAGGCCTGATTTATTGAATTTTCGACCCTTTTTAAGGTACTGACCGAAAAATGAAATAATGAAGTTTTCATCTGAAATTTCTACCATAGATAGTTATACTTATACCTAGAATATCCAGAAAGTTTCAGCCGAATAGAATGTCCCTGTGTCGAGATATTGAATTTCCAAAAAAATAGTCATTTGCCACAGATATTTCACAAAAGTCGAGTTTAATTGAAAATTCAATAACTCGACACAGGAACATTCTATTCGGCTGAGACTTTCTGGATATTCTAGGTATAAGTATAACTATCTATGGTAGAAATTTCAGATGAAAACTTCATTATTTCATTTTTCGGTCAGTACCTTAAAAAGGGTCGAAAATTCAATAAATCAGGCCTAACTCGGCTCCAAAGGCGCAATGGCACGAATCCTTTTAGACTTTCTCTAGTCTCACTGAGATCTACTTGTGGGCATAATACGAGCTGAAATGGTGGGTATCACTTGGGAATGTTCCCTCGTTAGTCCTGCTTTCTTTCTGTATCTGAAAGTCTTAATTACAAAGTCAGTCTTAGTCATCGAGTCTGTATGTTTTTTTGACTAAGAGTCGTAAAGTCAGTCTTGTTTGTTAGAGTCTTGACATCTCTCAAAGCTATCGTCATGAAGTCAGTTAAAGATTTCAAGTCTTCATGTCTCTCAAAGCCAGTGCTAGGAAGTTAGTAATGTCATGAGGTCTTATGTTCTGTCGAACTCAGAGTCATCAAGTCAAGGGAGTCCTATAGTGGTGAAAGTTTTTTGCGTATTGAAGTCAAAGTCTTTAATGCAGTCTGACTTCTGGTTTCCGTATTGGTGTCGAAGGCAGAATGTTGGTGTCTTTAGTTTTGTTACCGGTGAACTGCAGTTTTCGTGTTCGCTTTTTTCGGATTATTAACCGGATCAGTTGGAAAAACTGCATCTTGCGGTGTGAAGAAATACATATCTACCGTTTTTCTCAGAAAGCTTCCAAGATATTTTATTTTGTTTGTCTTCAAACAGACGATTCCTGAAAATATCAACTTATTTTTGAAACGATAGCTCATGGCATTCTCTCTAATAGGTGAACGCAGAAATTCTTGTGACTTGTGCTAATAGATTTGGAGAGAGCTAAAAGGCAAAGCGTATGAGAATTTATAGTTTCTCACTGTCCAGAATTTGTTTTTTCTCTTCATCTAAACAACAATCATATTTTGCAGACCTTTCATTCTTTCCGACTATTTTCGAACTGAAAATGCTCACTTTATTGAGATGATGGTATTCAGAAATGAGTTTTTGTGCATATGATTTGATTTGGATAGTAAATGTGTTTTTTTTAAAGTGCTTAAATCGGTATGAAAGTGCGAAACTACCACATCTGATACATCTTTTCTTTTGGCTTACTCCAAATCTATTAGCACAAACCAAGAGGATCTTTTATTTTGACTATCGTACAGAATATCACGACGTATAATTTGAAAAAATTTAAGATTTTATCATGTACATTTGTGGAGATATATGGAGAATAAATTATGTTGCAAACACTCCGAGACATCTAGTATCTCTGTTACATTCTCTCGCAAATGAAGATTTCTTCATGTTTTTCATCATTCCTCTCCTATCAATCTTCTGTATAATTCGGTTGAAAGGATCCTCAAACGGCTGAAACTTGCACTATATTCTGTTGCAATCTGTTGATAAGGATGATAATGCCTGTACTTGGATGAAATATAAATGAATGAAGAAGGAGAAAGACGGCATTCTTTGATTCATCTAGCGATTTAATGCAGCTCTTCGATCCCCACAGGAAAATTTGTCGTAATCTATTCAAGTTTTTAGGTATTGAAAGATGTAAAAACAAGTCGAAATTTTCTCAGGAACAATGTATTTTCTTTTGAATTCTCAGAGTTCTAATGCTTTTACACAACAATTCCACATAAATTGAATAAGGTTTATATCATGCATGTCGTGCAATTCCTACACTTCTAAAATAGCGATCGTAACATAAGAATCAAAAAGAAGGTATCTGAATGCTATTTCTGTGTTTGAGAATACTGGATAGGTTTTCCGAGCTTTTTTTCGGAAACGCAAGGGTTTTCTGAAAATTCGAAAACCCTGAAGGGTTTCCAATAGATGTTCGGAAACCATGCTCAATTTTTCGGAAACGCTTCCACCGTTTCTGATGCTCGGAAACCCAAAACAGTTTTCGATAAAAAAATTATCGGAAATGCAAAGGTTTTTGAGAAGGTTTTTAAATCAGAGAAGGTTTCCGGGGAGAACTTTCGGTTTTCAAAAAGAGTACCAGGGTTTCTGAGAATACGTTTGAGGGTTTGCGGACCTATATTTCGAAAACCCATAGGTTTCCGGATACTCGGAAACCCTGAAGGTATTTTCAGAAACTTAACATGAGTCCGGAAACCTTTCCGGATACGTTCAAGGGTTTTGGAAAGGGTTTTCGAAGGGGTTTCGGTTTCTGAGAAAACGCTTTTTTTTTAGAGTGTAGTTGGTCAACTTTCATCTACTACATACGTAGAGGAAACAATGGAACATGATCTTCTCAATGATTCTGACTATATTGAAGTAAGAAGGAATTCTTCTTCAACTTAAATATGATCACATATTCTTTTTCTCTCTTTCAGCTGATCGAAGACGAGCAAGAAAACGAACAAAACATTTTATCATAAAAGTTAAGTGAACTAACAACAAAAACTTCTGAAGAAGTTCAAGTGACAACATCTGTCGAGAAGACACGGCATGCCAGTAGTACAACTAGTCCAAGCGTTTATCCAAAAAGAATCAAAATGATTGGTAGCAATGATGATGAAGATGATGCTACTTTTGAAATTGATATGAAAAAAGATCAAACACCATATTATTTATCGTTAAATAATACACTATTTCTTCGAACCAGCAAAGATATACTGAAAAATGTCCAAACTATTACGATCAATGATATACAACAAATAGCAATTTTAATGCATCAAATTGGTGCTCTGAAGATAAAGATAGATCAAACAAATATTTACTTAAAAGCAGTCACAGGTACATTAACAGAACCAGAAAGTGATTTAATCGACGTTGATCGGCGTGTATGGCCAATGCAAGTTCAATCAATGATGTCAAGTAAAAGTGAATCCAATTCGGTGACAACTACGGAATCAAATCATGAAAAAACTCAACGTGATTGTGAAAATTTACTTCATCAACGTTTACAAGAAACAAGTCAACAAATTCAAGGTTTTGAACAAGAATTAACTGAAAAAAAGCAAACTTTCTTCGAATTTACATCGACAATGAACGACGCAATTCAAAAGTATGTACAAGACTATAGTATTAAACCAATGGAATTGACACATCATTTTAAAAAAGCGATTGTTTCATATGATTACGAAGCAGAAATACTGGAACGACAATATTTAAAAGAAAAATCGAATGTATATCAAGTGAGAAATCGATTGTACTTAGATACG